GGTGCCCATATCTTATTAAGCACATCAACAAACTAGAAAAGGTGCAAAGACATGCAACTAAATAAATGACTTGCAAAACTGAAAGACAAGAGCTACCAGGAGAGGTTGGAGGCATGAAATATACCAACGCTAAAAGATAGAAGAAAAAAGAGGGGCAATATGATCACTATGTACAGAATAGTAACGGGAATCAACAACAATTATTAAGAAGGATTCTTGAGACCTGGAAATGCAATAACAAGAGATCATAGATTTAATGTAGCTAAACAAAGCTGCTAAAAAAAATATTTGAAAATTCACTTAAGCAAAGAGAGTAGTAGACGATTGGAACAAGTTGGGTGAGAAGGTGGTGGAAGCAAAAACCATCAGTAGTTTCAAAGCATTGTACGACAAAGAGTACTGGGAAGACGGGACACCACGAGCGTAGTACTCATCCTGTAATTACACTTAGGTAATTACATAAACCTCCCCTCCCACACATTCACCTTGTATACAGCATCCTGCCCACACTAGTGTTGGACTGTTAAATTTTAATATGAATTTTAAGGATTGTCATTGTACAGACTATATTGTAATCAAGTATAATCCAGCATTGGATCACCCTGTTGCTGCTCCATGAAATGTTTGTGACACCAATCACAGCTAACTTAACAGTATTAGTGCAGATGCATATCACAAGAGATTTAAGGATATTATACTAAATTCCTGTTGATGTTCATTATCTTTGTTATAATAGGAACATATTTATACAAGTTTATACTTGTAAAACTCCTGTAAAATGGGTGATAGTTATTTGACCAGATAATGTTTTCATGGTAGTTGGATGTATACTTGGTACATGAATTACTGTACTGATATAGTATTCTGACTAACGATGTATTTTGGTTAATATCTCGATAGGTAATACATCTTAAGATGTATTACCTGTAATTACCTTAAGATGTAATACATCTTAAGATGTATTACCTATGAGAGATATTAAGATTAGATTCTGGTGGCATTGATAGATCAACTTTTGTTTCAATTCATGACATTTTCTTTCCAATAGTGTAATATTTAAATTTGTATATGTCATTTCTGCCCCAGTTGAAAAAGAAATGACTATAGGATCAAAAGTGACTGGAAATACGCAACCTTACTCTGGGTACTGTATTTCAATATCTGGTGACCATCAGTCATATCACAACCTTAAAGCATCATTATACAACACAGTAGAACATAAGGAGTATCTATGGTACAAAAGTCCATGCCATGAACATTGATTTTTAACCAACTTAAAGTTGAGTAAGAATTAATTTGTGAAGTATAAACTGTGTATATACACAAATACTAGTTTTCTTACTCTGCAATACAGAAGTACAGTACATACATACATTTGCATTTAATCCTACACCACATTATAAATATACAATATATAAAAGTGCTTCATAATACATAAACATATTGTTTGGCAGTGTGGCATGGGGCTATGTTCAAGAATGACTAACACAAACACAATTATGCCAATATTACAGCCCCGCCTTTTGGAATCCTTCAGGTAGAAAACATTCAAAATTGTTAGATAAAACGGGTAAATGTAGCTAGGATAATGTGGGGAATGCATGTTTAATTAGCTTTAGCAAGTGAATGGCAAAATGTGGTGGCAAAATGAAACATAGTACTTCCTGCCAAAGAATGTTTGGTAAGCCAACCAAAATGTTAAAAGTACACATTACCTAAACTTTTAGATTCTCAAAGATACAATTTTAACCCTTAAACTGTGCACCACAACCAGGGGTGTTTCATTGATGGTGTGCACCACAATCGGGGTGTTTTAAGCCCATCATAAAATTTGAAACTTCCAGGCATACATACGACTCACATCTGCTTCCTCAGACCTCTAGTAACCATTCCCCATTTTGGAAAAAAAATTAAAAATCTGAGTCCCTCACTTTCCTTCTAGGGCCTTAGCAGGAAGATGAGGACCATGTCTGGCACTTCACCATCCAGTGTTTGAATGTGCAGGGTGGCCATATTAGGAGCCATTAAACTTTTAACAGCAAGTGAGTGATTAACATGTATATATTTACAGGAAAACTGTGTACTATGTGCAATTATCAGATTTACTGAGAAACCACGAAAATAATTCAACAAAGTTATTCCATGTGCGGCCTCTCGCCTCATTTCTACCAAAAAAATGAAAAATTCTTTGGGTCACCACAGCCAACCCATAGGAGAGGGAAAGAGAGAGAGAGAAACTGACTCAGACACCGAGACTTTTTACTTAAATTTTTGTGCTTCCTGGGTGCTAATTAACAATGGTAAATACAGAAACAAAAAATTCAGAACAATTTGTTTTATGTGCACAGGAGTGTCACATGTAACAGGTGCACTGTGCAGGGGTGAATTTTGGTATCGGCTAGATTTCAAAACCAATTATATACCATTCTTTCGTACATAATTACATGTTGCACTGGCATTATAATTATGTGAAAATTTAACAAATTTATGCAGTCATCCATGTACAGTAATTGTGTTTATCTCTAAATGAACAAGTTCATGTAAAGAATATATATCAGTAGGAATTTAATCAATATGTCAGAAAATATATTTTTGCCATTCAATATTTATGATATCTAAAACTACAGTACCAATGAATATAAACAAATGTGACCTATAGTAGCTAATTGTAGTAAGACAAATGGTCCCAAACCTCAATTATTTTCATAAAGAACTGACTGATATCAACCAGGTATCAACCAGACTGCTCTTCCATCTACCTTTAACATTAGGCCTAGTATTTAAGACTTCCACTTATAGTTCATAGATATTTTACCTTTTCATATTATTTAAAATGACATACACTGTATTGTATTGCACTTTTATAATATTTGACTTAGAAGATGGCATATACCTAGCCTCAAGACCTGTCTACATGTTGACTACAGGAGCATCTACACTACAGGAATATGAACTATATATAACTTACCACTCGTAGTCATTGCACATGATCATGATCTATATTAGAAAGTAATACATGTTCATGATCTATATTAGAAAGTGTGTATAGAGTGAAACATTTTAAACATGATTGATCCCAAAGTAAGTGTGTTGTGATTCTTGTGGTTACAGTTTTGCCCAGTGGGTTAACTTGTCCTTAGCTCACTCATCCTATGCAACCTTACCCTTAACTCATTCATCCTATGCAACCTTACCTTCAACTCACTCATCCTATGCAACCTTACCCTTAACTCATTCATCCTATGCAACCTTACCCTTAACTCATTCATCCTATGCAACCTTACCTTCAACTCACTCATCCTATGCAACCTTACCCTTAACTCATTCATCCTATGCAACCTTACCCTTAACTCAACCATCTTATTGAGTTTAGGACACAGGACATTCCCAAATGCCATACAATTGGGGAATGGCACTCAGTAGATTAGAAACTGATGGGATCACACAGAGGAAAACTGGCCTACGCATGGGCAGCTGAATGGTGCGTAAAGTCCGAGAAAGGAGGCACCGCTCGTCTCAATTGGTCAAAATGAATGTGAAGGACAGAGACTGACCACAAGAATAGCAGACATCTCAAATGGGAACAGCACTGAGAACTAAAGCCCGAAATGCCAAATGCAAGGCTACCCTCAGAGACAAACCCCGCATGGGAAGAAAATGAACCAACTTCCCATGACCCAGAGAAATGACCTCGGAACTTCAGGGGTACATTCCGAAAGAAGATGGAGAGCATAGCCCGATGGGAGACAGACACACACAAGTGCCAGTGAGACTGTTGCAAACTCCCACATTATAAAGGGTGGCTGGTGAGAGCCATAAATGCCAACTGGTGTGAGAAAACCTGGATATTAAGCCCCACCCGAGGCCTGAATTTACCCGAGAGCTATCATCTCTATTGGCTTCAATGGGGGAATCATTGCCACAAAGGCAAGAGACAACTGCAGACACCATAGAGCAGAAGCCTATGTTGCAGCCTCTCACAAAGGCCAGCAGTAGCTCATCAAAGCAGGAAGAGAGCAAATCTGCATCAGCAGGTGGAAAGATGGCAGCCACTGTGGAGAATGAAAATGGATGGGGAAGCTAACTCCTCCTGTCCATGAATGTAAGCAAAATAGCCACCCAGAATGCCATATGGGCCTGAAGGAATCCCAACAATAAACTCCTGGTGGGAAAATGTATAGACAGCCATGGACACGAACAATCAATTACGTAACCAAAGTTCACCCTTGTCAAAAGAAGTAGGGTCAAAAGTGATCGTAGGATGTTAGATAACACATAGCTAATGACAACACTCAACTTCTTTTGATAATTACTGTACTGACAACACTCAACAGACCTTACAGGAAAGAACAGGGCCCATGTGCTAGATGGAGGGAAGGTGACTAAAGGGAAATCAGCTTGTACAGAAGAAACGTGAACCCCTTAGAGCAGGTACCTCTGGCAGGACAACAAAAATGCAAGCCTGCTATCAAGAAAGAGAACCCTGACACACAGCAGAATACAGAGCTAAGACAAACACATTTTGGATGACATAAAACAGGGTCATGAAGAAGAAAGGAAACATGAACAAAGCTATGGCCTCTGGCATAACTAATGTTCTAGGGATAGCTAAAACCACGTAGTTTAAGAATAACAGGATGGGCCCTTTTACAGGATTCCAAGCCTCCCCCGATGCTGTGACTAGGTGAGTATGTGAGTGAGTGAGAGGGCAGGCTGGCTGGGGCCCCAGGTGACCTGTGCTGCTATCTGGTGATGGTCAGGTACATCATGGTTAGTGTGTGTACACCTACACAGCAATAATTTGCCTAGTTATCTCTGAGTACCTATTTTTTCAAGCAATTGCTTGTTTTAGTGTGCTTATATTTTCTGGGGTGGGTTATCTTGAAATGATTTTGGGGCTTAGTGTCCCCGCGGCCCGGTCCTCGATCAGGCCTCCACCCCCAGGAAGCAGCTCGTAGCAACTGTCCAACTCCCAGGTACCTATTTACTGCTAGGTAACAGGGGCATCAGGGTGAAAAAAAACATTTTGCCCACTTGTCTCCGCCTCCACCAGGGATCGAACCCGAAACCTCAGGACTTTGAATCTGAAGCGCTGTATACCCAGCTGTCAGGCACCCACCCACCAGGGTTTCATCAGTTTTGGGCTTATCTCTGATCCCGAAGCTCTACTAACTTCATGGAGAGAGCCAGATTCTAGTCTTGGCTCTCGGTAGGCTCGAGTGGGTCTCGGAGATCTGGTGCATCTTCTTGAGACATGGTTGCACCAGCACTTAGCTTGGGAAGGTACTGAGGAGGCCCTCCCAGAAATTAATTTCAACTGAATGTTCAAAGTACTGTACTGTAATGATTTTGTGCTATCAATAGGATTTTAGTAAACCTGAACATTGTAGAATTTTGCTGAATATTCTTAAACCACTTGTATATTATAATAGATGGAAATGTTAGTACAGTATGACATTATCATGATAGTTTTAGGAGTTATTTAGTTGTAAAGGAGCATTACATAATTTGCATTAAAACAAAAAATGTACACAATTGATAAGAATACTTTTGGATTCTTTGTGTGCCACTAAGCAGTTATTTAATAATTTTGGTGCACTTCATTAAAATCATATTATTGATTTAGGTTATGTAGTTATTTTTTGGTGCACTTTGTTGAAAATAAATAATTGGTTTGGGCTATGCAAATGCTTTGAGACTGAAGCAGTAATGTCGTGAAAGAGAAGGAAGCCACACTGTCAACCACAGAAATGCTGTCTACACCCACACTATACTTTGAACAATTTGACTCCCTTAGATATGCTAGAATTGTTTAAATGTTTTTTCTGTAAGAGGAAATTTGAATTGTGATCCTTTTATTCTTGGGCTATAATTTCGCTCTTGTTAGTCAAGTGCAACACAAGTGTAAAGTGTTGCAAGAGAAGCAAGCATACATAACCAATTTACTGAGGCAAATTGGTATTGCGGCAACATTTTTCATAACTGTTTTCTATATATTTATTATTGTCTTGATGAATACTTTATCTTTCTGTAACAATTCATGGCAGCTTGTGATTTATTTGATAAATGTGAATGATGTATACTACTTGGTAGCAATAAACTACATAACTGCTGCATTACGGTATTTCTATAAAAAACAAAATGTGAATAAATAGTGGCATTGCAATATTCATGAGTCATTAAATAATAATGACCAATGTTGCTATAGAGTTTACAGACAAATTTATTTTTATTTGAATACAGTACTGTACTTTAAATTGTAATGGTATATTTAACCTTTATATTAATAAAGATTAAAAAGTCAGTAGGGAAGCAAGGAATGTGCTTTCTTGAGCAAAATTATATTGAAAGTTGTCATGTTGTACACTTAACACTTTCATTCATTTTCATGCACCATTTTTTTTTATTTTTTTTTTGTCATAACTAATTCTAATTTATTTAAGTAAAATTTCACTTAAAAAAATTTGAGTTTGATCAATAATTGAAAAAATATACATTTATGTAAGAGTTCTAAACCTTATGAGAAAGAATGAAGTTTTAATCATGGGTAGAGTGTTACGTCTGCATTTGAAGGTAGTATTTACATGTGAAATGAGTGTCTACAAGTACAGGTCATGTTTGTGAATGAGGGACTCTTGCTATAGGTATCAGGGTTGCTGCCTACAAGTCTGCAATCTACAAGGGTTGATTGCTAGTTAAAGGATTCATCTACAGGTTTAAAGTGTGGCTGATGAGTAATGTATCTACATGTATGGATCATATCTACTGGTAAGGATTGTGTCTATAATGGAGGATTGCATTTACTTGTAAAGATTATTTCTAAATATGAAGGCTTTTTCTTAAAATGTGGTATCACTCTCAAACTACAGTACAAGCAAAGACTTTCTCCATACGAAAGCTGTATTTCCATGTGAGGGCTGTAACGCCATGAGAGGGTTTTTATAACCACACAAAGGCTGTATCACTGAAAGAACTGTCACCATGAGTAGACTGTACTATATTACAATTACTGTAGAGGGCTGTATCTTCATATGACATCAGTATTTCTATGTTAAAATTACATTTATAAATTAGGTAAGGGATATATCCAGGAAGGGACCATCTCCAGGCATCATGTGTGTGAGATCTATTGACAATTATATATTGTATTATGTAGGCAAGAGGTGTTATTTGTTGAATGTGTAGCTTGACAGGAGTTGCCAGCAGATTAGGGTTTCATCTAAAGTAAAATTGTCATCAACTATATTGTCCAGTCTAGAAAATAATTTTTCTTTCTCTATATTAAATTAATAGGTCTCTTTGGCAGCCTCAAGTATTTGACTGGTCTTGTGATCTCGAGTAATCCAAAGATTCCCCATTCACCTGCTGAGGACTTGCAGCTTTTCCCACTAGGTAATACGTCATGAGTTCCCCTTTACCCTTCACGGCTATGAGGCCTCGCTGCTCAAAAACATAGCCAAAGTGCTGGAGTATTTTTGTCGTCTCCTCTGTCACCTGAGAATTTGAATAAAAAACAAACACACAATGTACTTTCAAGCATCAAATGTAAATAAATTAGAAATTTACAAAAAGGTAAAATGTATGCACTCAGGATTAATTATGTTTTATATTATTATTATTATTATTATGTAAATGTAAATTTAAAATTTGATGAAAGAGATATCAGGCTTTGAGTCAATATAAAAATGTGCTTTTTTGAACACACACACTTGCTTGCTTCATATGGTAAGAATCTGTGCTGAACAGGATTTTTGACCCATTGGGCAAGATGATATTTTCGCATTAGCACCACAAGATCTCTACCCTATATAAGATATAACCCTACGTACCTGTAGGGTTATATAAAGTGCTAGTGAACTGAAAAAATGCTAAATCCAGCCTAGAAAATCCATCGGATTTGCTTCCATAAAATCTCAGTCCTACCAAGCCATCTGTGATACTAGGCGAGATCACATTTTTTGTCTAACACAAAATTTAAAAATAGGAGAATGGAGGAATCGGTGGGACAGGGAGCATCTAAATGACTTTGTTCTGAATGGCATTTTTCATTCAGGTTCAAATTATTTCTGAGTTATAGTATTATATTTGGCTGCTTCAGATAGGCCTTGAATAGATTCTTATAGAATCAAGAAAAAGAATCAAGAGCAAAATAGGGAATGGTGCTCATGTGTGATGCAGAGCTGATCTAAAGTAGTGAGACTGAAGAATGTTCATCCAGCAGAGATGGGCCTGGGAAACAGTGTATCTGATGAACTAGGCTGTGATTCACACGTCAGGCTGTGAGCAGTCGCATCCAAATCAAACACTGATAATAACATAACCCTGCCCTTCCCACTAAGAAGAAAGGCTAGTCGAGAAGCCAGTGGACAATAAAATAAACTTCTCGGTTCATTCTGAGAAAGTTTCCTCGATACTTATGCATGCACCTCAGGAAAATGTACTTGCAAACAGTTTCAAACGATCAATGAACCTAACCTGTTTTCTCAACGAGGGAAGAAGGAAGAGATGACTCTTGGTGATTAAGAGAGCTGAGAAATGTGATTAGACTTGCTAATTCACTTTACCTATGGCAGTCCAATTCTGAAATTTAAAGTAAGGTACAAGTACTGTATAACTGTTTAAATGAAATGGGCAATTTTTAGAAGTCATTGGGACCCATGCCATGGCATGGATTTACCAGAACCAATCAGATTCCCATTTGGAAAAACACAGCTGCTGAGCCCTGATTGTTCCTTCCCAGGAGGCAGGGACAATGAGGGCCAACTCTGGAGGCAGGGACAATGAGGGCCAACTCTGGAGGCAGGGACAATGAGGGCCAACTCTGGAGGCAGGGACAATGAGGGCCAACTCTGGAGGCAGGGACAATGAGGGCCAACTCTGGAGGCAGGGACAATGAGGGCCAACTCTGGAGGCAGGGACAATGAGGGCCAACTCTGGAGGCAGGGACAATGAGGGCCAACTCTGGAGGCAGGGACAATGAGGGCCAACTCTAGAGCTCCTAGCCTTGATGCTTGCGACACATGCACTGTCTCATTCACTAGAGAGTGAATGTCTCTCTGAATGCTATGGTAATGTCTAAACATTTTCTCACCTTAGTACACCTTGGTAGGACTGTGGTTACACATACTTTGAAACCAAGAAATGAAACGTTTGCACGTCTCGACACTATCTCAACAGCCTCTATTTACAAATTATCATTCTACCCTAGTGAAAAAGATATTCACTCGAATCAGCCTGTGTTCTGGGACAATTACCAGTAAACTGAGGCTGCTACCACATCTGACAACTGCTCTACACTGCACATGTTCCAGAGTCTACAACTTCTACCACTATCCTGCTCGTCTCATTATAAGACTATTAAACATTCAAAGCATATATATAGTGTTTTATACCCTAACCATCCTCTGTGGGGTGTGGTATGTGATTATCAGAGCAGAGGAAAGTACTTTGTAGAACCTGGCATTGTGTGCCTTAATGTTGTCAGCTTCAGTAAGAACGCCTGGCAACTGTTTTAATCAAGGTGTCCCACATATAAAAACATTCCGGCATGTATCATGAGTGATACTGTGACAATGTGGGTAAGAACATTACCTTGATCCCACAATAAGAAAGAACAGTGTGACAATTTATCCATGTGCTAGTTTAAACTAATAAAAACTAGCTATTTTTGAAGAGGTTTCTTTCTGCTGACCACTTGGTATGCATTGGTGCTGCAACCTGCTGGTGGGTGGATGCTTTGACATGACAGGCATTGAGTTGTTTTGAAGTCTCACTTGGCAAGCACTTGTTATATTAAGTCAAGTTTCAGTAGGGCTTCAGGTAGTTTCTACCTCTGATGTACTTTGTGCGGCAATTGAGATTTTCTTCAGTTCCTCCTTAGCAACACTACAGGAACTTTGGAAAATACCCCTATGGTTCATGCTTGAATATCATTCTGCCTGACTGTTCATGAATCCTGCTTAAGAACAACAACATTCTTACATTTGGCAGCAATTGCATGCAAGGGCTTGAAAAATATTCTTTATATGACTAACTGGTACTTTTGAAATTAGACCATAAAATGTGCTAATCAAATTCAATCATACAGTTATTAGTAAAACACAGCAACATTCCTGATGAGAGAGAAATATAAAACAGTCTTGTTATTGTTCATATGAGTAAAGACAAAAAACAGTTGCTAGGATAAGAGAATAATGCAATATTAGCTAACCTGTATGCAGCCTGCCTTGCCCGTGGATTCCATCCTGGAGGCTACGTTTACAGTGTTGCCCCAGATGTCATAGTGTGGTTTACGTGCTCCGATCACTCCTGCAGTGATGGGCCCATGGTTTATTCCTGCAGAAAGTAAAAATAATTAGCATATTGAAAGGAATGGTTCTTTAAAAATAAAAAAAAATTACACCAGAAACAGATCTCTCTCTCTTATTCAGAATCAGACTAAATATATGCAAACAAACCATGTAAATAAACAGACTAATATGTGGAACTCCCCTTTTAATGAAATAAAATATTTCCTCTTTGGCCTCCACTACCTTCTCACTTAACTTGTTCCAACCGTTTACCACTCTCTTTGCAAAAGAAAATTTTCTAATATTTTTTCAGCACCTTTGTTTCCTTAGCTTGAATCTATGACCTCTCGTTCTCGGAGCTGCCGTTTTCAGGAATTCCTCTTTGTCAATTTGGTAGATTCCTGTTATTATTTTGTAAGTGGTGATCATATCACCTTTTTTTCTTCTATCCTCTAGTTTTTGCACATTTAATGCCTCTAGCCCCTCTTCATAACTTTTGCTTTTCAGTTCTGGAAGCCATTTTGTAAGATGCCTTTACACCTTTTCCATTATATTTATGTGCTTGAAATACGGGCACCATACAACTGCTGCATATTCCAGTTTTGGTCTTACAAAAAGCATGAACAGTTGATTTAGTGCTTCACCATCCTTGTAATTAAAAGTGATTCTAAAGTTGGAAAGTGCAGCATACACTCCTTACATAATGTTCTTTGTGTTCCTCTGGTGACAGTTTACTATCTAGAACCACCCCTTGATCTCTTTGTTGGAGTTCTTTAAGTCCTTTCCAAATACTATGTCGGTTGTGTGTGGTCTATTTTCCCCTATTCCACATTCCGTAACATGGCATTTATTCACACTGAATTCTATTTGCCACATGGTGCTCCAAGCACTTATTTTATCCAGGTCAATTTGAAGGGCATGAGTTATCTAGGTTTCCTATCTTCTCTAGTAGCTTAGCATCATCAGCAAACATGTTCATGTACGGTGTTCCTTCTGGTAGATCGTTTATGTAGACTTTATTTAAGTACAGTGTTGTATTTATGTATAGCAAAGACTGCAAACTTCCAGGGAAACATGGGAAATAGTGATCGTCAGGAAAGGCAGACAACAAATATATTGACAAAGTAAAGATTGAGGATAAACAGAGGATCCAGAGCATTTTTTTTTCCTTTTGAATTGGAAACAGCTGGGATTGACACCACCCAAAATCTGTTATTAGCTGTCATTGTAATTATAAGATGTGTAGATTAGCTGTAATTGATGATAAACCTGACATCAGTGGGTATTTTTTTCAATAAGTTTTGTGCCCCCTCCTGTAACCCTTTTTTGCAATACAGTTTGCAGGATGAGTATGGGCTGCACAATAAACTAGCTACCTCTAGCAGCAACAGTCAAATCAAATGAGAGGAATGAGTCAATGACTCCCTTGCCCAACAAATTGTGGGCATAGATGGCTGGGAAGGAACCCTGGGCACCTGGCAAAAAAAAAAAAGAAAAGCCAAACAGCCTTAGAAATATGAGGCAGAATGAAAACTTTTTATGCGTTTAAGGATGCGCACATGTCAGTATGGGGTTATAATTGATATCCAACAGCAAAACATAAACATTCAAATTCAGTATACAGTAATTTTCCTTTATCATGATAATTTAAGTGACCTTACTAAGTGGTCTCGGAGTGATCGCTCACCCATTCTAAGGACAAAGTGGTTGAAAGACTGCTCGTTGATAGACTGTAGTGCTCTCACAAGTTCAAATGCGAAGTCCACCAGAAGAGCCAGGTGTGCCCAGCGCACCTTCACTGGATCATCTTCCTGTTAGGAAAACAATGATAATGTTAACACAAAAAAAAAGTGTCTGTAGAGCTAAAATGTTGGTTAAACTAATTATATTTGCTGGGATCATGCTCCAGCATTAAAACACACTAAATACTGTATACAACTGTAACAATTCTCTCTTTTTAAAACTTTGTATATTCTAAGAATGTGTCAATAGTTCTAGTTACTTCATAATTAAACACTGAAGCTTGCATATTCCACTGTACAATACCAAATGTATATTGACCTTACCTATATACTGTACTAGTATTTGTAATACCATAATAATTACTTTATCACATGCCCATATTGCTGGTGATAATGTTGCTAGCATAATTTACCAGCAAATGAGGATTGAGTTAATGGGGGTCGTCTAGTCATTCAATAACCCAGTGTTAATATAAACTCTGGTATCAAATGTATGTTGATACTGTAGTTACTTCAATAATGGAACTCCACAAGAAACTTGTGGAATTGCATGAGCTCCTCGCTCCATTTCCCTTCACAGGCAACTCGTGCAACAAGCCCCTTTGCTCCACATGCTCCTCGCTCCACAAGCCTCCCCCTACCCCCTGACTCCACAAGCCTCCCCCTTCCCCCTGACTCCACAAGCCTCCCCCTTCCCCCTGACTCCACAAGCCTCCCCCCCTTGCTCCACAAGGCCCTCCCCCCCTTGCTACACAAGCCCCCTACCCCTCACTCCAAAAGCCTTCCTCCCCCTCACTCCATACGCTACCCCTCGCTCCACAAGCCCCCCTTCGCTCCTCACCTTCACTTGTCTCGAGGGGTTGAGTCCACTGGCAGCCATGTAAGTAGATCCAATAGTCTTGATCTTGATGATATCGTGGAACTGCGTTAATTCCAATAACTGCAAGGGTTGATTTGTGGGTAATATGTTCAATATTGCAGTTTGTAATACACTTAATTATGTGTTACCTAATATTGTAATTACATTCCCCAAATTTTGTTCATTGCAACTTTATTTGTATAAAATAAAAATTCATTTAAAATTTTAAATCATCTTGCATAAAGCGTGTCAAAAGTTGTGTTTATTTTAACTGGTGTTAAATTTAAGGCCTATTAATTGCAGGAGCCACAATTGGGATTACTGTCCAACCACCAAGCATACTTTAGTTCTAAAATAAACTTAGTATAGTTTAAAACACACATAGTTAAAACATAGTTTAAGATACAGTTAAAACAGTCTTGCTTCCTGACTGTCTCTCATGGCTACTTGTTCCTCGATAGAATCCTTGGTGAATCGGATGCCTTTGATATCATTCACCTTATACGCTTTTGTTGTAGTATTGGCATCCTTAGATACTGTATTTAGTGCCTTTTGAATATCCTGCACATATGATGGTGCTACATAGTGCCCCTGGCTTGCACATTCTTCTGGCAGAGTATACAGGCAGGTGTAATGTTCACAGGCAGGTCTCATTTACTTTCCATAAAACAGTAATACTTAGCTACCACCATCAACATGACTTCTCATCTTTGCTATCCTGAGTCCATTTCCACCCATGTTTATTTTTGTCTTTATTCTCACACAAACAGAAGACCTCGATAACTTTCAACCTCTACCATATTTCATTGATGTGCCACTGTGAGTGCTGCATGTTTCAACATTACCACTTGTGCAGTCATCGGGAGGAAAACCTTGATGCAAACTGCACGTAACACACAAAGAAAAGAAAAAACCTTGTATTGTTGCTGCCACCAACAACACCCACCTGGTCAAAGTCAGAGATGACTTCATTCAAGAAGCGCAAGCACTCCAAGCCCTGGTTGTTGACGGACTCCTCGGAATAGAAATCTGTCGGTAGAATTGTTTAATTATTAACTCAACTCCCCACTATCACCACTGGTTGCATGATTTGATGTATTCGTGTATTGTTTAATACTTGCCTAACATTGTGGTATGTGCATTTATCTCGCAATACAAGGAGCTTCAGGCTGTTCTCAAGGTTAGGTGATTCTAATGATCGGCCATCCGCCCTGGTTAAGATTGATCGTTTACACAAAATTACAAGTACAGAAGAAGTCAAACAACGGACAACATTAAAGTATTAAACAGAATCCTTGAGTTACCCCCAAAAATAACAATGTGATCAGACCTCCAAAGTTTGGCATGGAAGCAAAGAGGACGCCGATCTCATCGTAGCTCTGGGAGTAGAGTTCCTCATGTTTCTTCCTTCTGATGCCCATGAAATGTGTGGCAACATGTTGGGGCAGGATGTTGTAGACTAGCGCCTCGTTCCTCTGGCGTATATCCGCCGCCCGTTCCCGCTGCTCCTCCACCTCCCGCCGCCACAGGTACAACAGTCGAGACGTCTTCTCTGTCTGCAGGGACACAATACACCTCCACTCACCGCTCATCAACACATATACCATTTTATTGATAGTACAATTTTTAATCTTTAAAAGTATAAATGTTATAAAATAGTATAATTTTTGTTCGTTTGCAAGGACGAACAAACAGTATAGAAGCTGAGGCCCAGGAATTAAAGCCAAATCTACCCAAACCCAGGTGAGTGCAGTTACGTTAATAAATATAAACACAAAAATATGTCTCTATCTTCAGAGTGATGAGGACTGACCTGTCTGTTGAGAATGATGAGGAGGAAAGTGATGAGACACAGCTCGACTGATAGACTGACGCGGTCCCGAACCAATCTGTGAGGGGGACATCAATAAGTGGTCAGCAAGATACCAGTAAGTGGTCAGCATCATACCAGTAGGTAAACACATAAGTCGTCCCCATGCACCTGTCCAAGTTCACAAAGGTTTCGGCCAAAACTAAGACACCCAGCCAGCACATGTGTAAATAAAGGAACTGACGAGGTATTGGTCCGTTCTAGACCATTATTGACCGTGTAACTGTCGCCTTGATAAGGGTCCTGGACAGATCGAAACGTCATCAGTTCCTGTATTTTTCAGGTATGTAGGTTGGTTATCTAATTCTCAGCTACGATATTGTGACCCTACAGGTTCCAAGAAACTAAGCTTATGATAATATCAAAGTTTTCATCTCTGAAAAATGTTACTTGGAATAAATAAATTTCCCTGTACAGGTAACAATTTGTTATATATTATCAGAAAGTATTGTATAATAAATATATATTATATAATATAAAATTTATATTATATATATAATATATAAAGTATATATATAATATGTATATAATATATAAACAAATATGTAAAACATTTATATATATATCGGAAAACTTTTGACCCCTGAAGGATTCGAACCCAGTCAGCCAGGGCCTCCATGACCCCCTGGCGTGTCCAGTTCTATTATCACTCAGCCACAGACTGTAAAGAAGTAGTGGAAAATCGTTTGACTTTTAACCCCAATACCCGACAGCGTTTGCGACTATTTTGGGACCTAATTTTGGGACTATTTTGGCTTGGGGACCATTCAGACTTGATACACAAATGATGCTCATGCGGCCCCAGCATGCTGAAGTGATTTGATGAAATATCTGTGCCACGAGGGCCTGGCTGACTGGTTTGAATCCTTCAGGGGTCAAGAGTTTTCTATTGCATGTTTGCTTGGGGACCATTCAAGCTTGACGTACACACACACATTATATATATTTATATATATTTATATATATATATATATATATATATATATATATATATATAATATATATAATATATATAATATATATTATATATATTATATATATTATATGTATATATATATATATATATATATATATATATATATATATATATATATATATATATATATATATATATATATATATATATATATATATATATATATATATATATATATATATATATATATATATATATATATAATGTGTGTGTGTACGTCAAGCTTGAATGGTCCCCAAGCAAACATGCAATTAACATCACAAACATTACATGTGTGTGTGTAAAATATATATATTTCTATGCCAATATATTAAGGTAATCTTACATGGGGTGATGGAGTGTGTTGGGGTGTTGTGCAGCATCGAGTGTGGCCCTCATGATGAAGAGGTTCATGGTACACTGCACACCAACTATTCCGATCATCACAGCACTCTTGATCATGAAGCTCACCTGCCGACACACACTCTCAAGTAAGACCTTTCTTCACGGCTGCACTCACAAGTTTTTCCTCTTAACTCGTTACAAAAGTTTCTTAAATTATTCAAGAATGTTAATTAGGAATCCAGACTCCCATTCCCAATATAAAATTGAGAGTGGCTCAGTTAGCGTTGATAATGAAGCCACGGGTTTGAGGACCACCTTCAACAACTACGCCAAGTCGTCGTTTAGAAGTAAGAAAATAAGAAACTAAACTACAGTAGGCCTATTGACGCATACGAGGCAGTTGCTATTTATATCCACTCAAACTCGTATATATATGGCTAACTTACACTTGAAGCAATCAATCGACCCCCTGCTTTATGTTACCCGGTAATTGTTTACATAAATCAACCATCCTGTTTCTTAACCTGTATTTACCCAGGTTTTTCTTTAAGCTATATTTATCCAGTTTACCTACATTGTTTTGTGCTCCATTTTGATACAGACCTGAGCCAGCAGGGAGGCCGCCACCAGGATCAAGAGGGTGAAATAGGAGTAGTAGGCGGGGTGAGGACAGATGGAGGCAGCGTCTTCCTCCTCTCTGACTGTGGTGTTGTTCTCCCGTGTGAGGATCGTCTTCAGTGCCTCATACGACGCTCCATGGCTGCTACTGCCGAAGTTGTCACTGAGGAAGGAGTCGTTGACGATAGTTGGGGAGGCCGCCGAGGGCAGGGAGGTGTTGTCGGCCAGGAAGATGGAGAATGGCTTGTCGCACAAGTACTGAAATGTATTCGTAACAGCAACATTAATTATAATGACCTGAATTATATGTAGCTGACCAATGGAGAGAGAAGGTAACATACCAGAACACATTCATATTCATTCTCTGATGTTCATTCACTTGGACCATCGGAGCCTTGAATACCAGACCACACAGGGTGTTCGTGTGGGTATAGAGCCTGCAGCTCTGCCCACTGAGACACATGCACCCACAATAAGGAAGAATTCCAGAGATACCCAAGTTGTACCCAGCTGGAACTTTAGGTTTTTCCCAAGCTGCCACTTTGGCATGAAGGTGTTAGGTGAACCACATCCCACTCATATAAATTGTTAACCACCATATCGTGGATATTAACATTTCATTCAAGGCTCCAATGGTTTAAGTTATTACATTAATATATAAATATTTATTACCAAGGTAGTTACAGGCCAAGGCAACTTCTGACTCCTGTTAGCAGGCTGAGAGCTTCCCCTTCTGATAGCACAAGTTAAGCCTTACCCTACTAGTTTCCACTGGAAGTTGTCCTGTCAATGTGGTTTACGACCGGGTCCCTATAATTATTGCTGGGTGAACAGGGGTGAACAGTTAAGGAGTGGTGGCCAGTCGATCCTCCACTCGCCCAGAGCAACAGTTACTCGACCAAATGTTTTAAGAAGTTTATTTTGGAAAAAAACAAAGAAATATAGACTGAGTAATGTCTAGTGAAAAAAAAATTGAGTGTGTGAATGTCAAATGTTTGAGGTTTAGTTCGGACCAGCAACACACAAGGTGGACGGAGTATGGACCAGCAACACACAAGGTGGACGAAGTATGGACCAGCAACACACAAGGTGGACGGAGTATGGACCAGCAACACACAAGGTGGACGGAGTATGGACCAGCAACACACAAGATGGACGGAGTATGGACCAGCAACACACAAGATGGACGGAGTATGGACCAGCAACACACAAGATGGACGGAGTATGGACCAGCAACACACAAGATGGACGGAGTATGGACCAGCAACACACAAGGTGGACGGAGTATGGACCAGCAACACACAAGATGGACGGAGTATGGACCAGCAACACACAAGGTGGACGGAGTATGGACCAGCAACACACAAGATGGACGGAGTATGGACCAGCAACACACAAGGTGGACGGAGTATGGACCAGCAACACACAAGATGGACGGAGTATGGACCAGCAACACACAAGATGGACGGAGTATGGACCAGCAACACACAAGATGGACGGAGTATGGACCAGCAACACACAAGATGGACGGAGTATGGACCAGCAACACACAAGGTGGACGGAGTATGGACCAGCAACACACAAGATGGACGGAGTATGGACCAGCAACACACAAGATGGACGGAGTATGGACCAGCAACACACAAGGTGAACGGAGTATGGACCAGCAACACACAAGGTGGACGGAGTATGGACCAGCAACACACAAGGTGGACGGAGTATGGACCAGCAACACACACAAGGTGGACGGAGTATGGACCAGCAACACACAAGGGAGGTGTAATGAGGTGTTTGAGAAGACGTTAAGAACTTCTCTCTTGTTCTGATGAGAAAAGTTTGTGTATAAATCACACGGCGGCTGAGAACTACAGAATGTTTACAGGTTTCTGAAGCTTACACAATGTTTACAGAAAGCTTCCAAAACTTACAGAACGATTACTGAAGGGTTACAGAGGTGGAGTATTCAAAACATAGAAGTTAGAGCTGTGTAATTATTTATGTATTACAGTAAGAGAGAGAGAGTGGCAAAGTGTTGTCCCTCCCACACCATGTTGCAACTGGTGTTAGGGACCTAAAAGACTGCCATGAGGATATTAAACATATCCTCGAAGCCCAAGGCCATCCTGTCCTCCAGGTGGACTCATTCACTCGACCCCCCTTCGTGGTCGCCGCCATCAGCCCCTTAGAATTGTGAAAATCACCTTTAATAGTAGGTCCCTTCCACCCTCTATCATTCTTGCTGGTGTCAGGTGCTCCGTTCAGGAGTAACTCCTCTCTCCTAGACTTTGTAATAAGTGCTGGAAGTTCGGACACGGTGCCCTCAAATGCACAAGTCTTGTTTCTCTATGCCCCATGTGTGGGGACGATAACCACTCTAAGACAGATTGTTTATCTCCTCAGGCTCACTGCCTCAATTACGGTGAGGCCCACCCTACCTTCTCCCGCACATGTATCCACTACAAGCTTGAGGAAGCAGTTCTCAACTTGAAACAAAGGGATCGTCTGACTTTTCCTGAAGCGAGACACCAAGTCCGCCGTCTCCACCCTTTCACTGGCGTATCTTATGCTTGCATGTTGTGTTCTACCTCTCCTCGTCCTTCCCACCTTCCTCAGTCCCGCATCCGTTTCCAGGCCTTGGACCCGGACACGCCCACTACCTCCTCCCCTGTTCCTTTACGTTTTGTCCCGGAAGGTCTCCCTCCTGATTCTCCTTCTGGAGTCCCTCTCCCCCTTCCTGCCCTGTCCGCCATGTCTCCTGTGTCTTCTTTTCCTTCTTCCTGACCCTCCCCACAATCTCTCGGCCCTCCATGCCGCCTGTCTGTACAGGCTGATGTCCATCATCCTCCCAGCAATCTTCATGTTGTTCAGTCCCGTTCTTCTTCTGCTGAGACCATTGAGTCTGTCGCCCAATACGTTGTTGCTGGTACACCTGTTTCTTTGAGTCAGAAATGTAAGCCTGGCTCCTCTCCTTCCTCCTTCCCAGCAGGTAAGAAGGCATCGCTTTCTTCCCAGCCCCCCAACTCTGACTCTATTGCTGCGTCCCCTCCCATTTCGGCGGTTGGGCCCCCTGTCCCAGCTATGGAGGTTTCTCTCTCTCCCGATTCACTCTCGGTTACTGCCCTTGCTGAGGTGCGCTCCCCGGGTTCTACCAAACTAAACACACTACTCTTAAGGGTAGTGTGTCCCTGTGGACTTCCTTCTACCAGTGTAACCGGCGATGGGAAACAGCTCTGGCGAGGCTGCGTATTGGCCATACACACTTAACTCACGGACACTGAATGGAGCGCCGCCCTGCTCCTTATTGTTCTAATTGCATTGTCCCTCTTACAGTTGTGCATATTTTTGTTGAATGTCCTGACTTCCAGGACGAGCATGTGTCTTGTTTTCCGACCATCCCCCAAGAGTCACTTTTCCCTAGATAGAATTCTTGGTGAATCTGATACTTTTGATATTGTTCGCCTTATGTGTTTCTGTTCTCTTATTGGCATCCTCGGTGATATTTAGCGCCCTCTGATTATTCCGCACATTAGATGATGCTAATCTCTGTGACAAAGTAATTCCTTAACACCAAGCCTTCCCGGCTTGGTGCCTTCTTTGATAATTACTTATTTACAGGTAGGTGGATATGATACTAACCATATCGGCGGTGTTGGCGGCTGCAGCGATGATTACCAGGGTGATGAACCACGCGATACGTAGACCGACCACTGTGTGTACCCGGTCACTCGCCGTCACCAGGCCGTCACACACACGCTGTAAAATAACACTATAGATACACTGTCACACACATGCTGTAAAGTATTGTTTGACACTGACCGTCATCTCGTCTAAGCCATAACCTCAGAGTGGAGACTAAACAGGACTACCTATATTCTAATGGTTTTGACTTCAAAAGCATATTTATACCAGAAAATGTCCATACTTATTTGAGTTAAAAGAAATAATCACAAGAAAGTAGCATGCGTTTTGTAAAGGAATTTACCCTTGGGCATACTGTACTTTGGGAAAGGGCTGGAGTTACTATGGGATAGGAGTATATATACTATATGAGGAAACAGTATAGATACTTATTGTAACAGGTAGACACTTACTATGGGAAAGGAGCATGCTATGGAGAGAAGGAAGACTTATTATGGGGAAGGAGTATGCTATAGAGAAGGAAGACTTACTATAGGGAAGGAGCATGCTATATAGAGAAGGAAGACTTACTATAGGGAAGGAGCATGCTATAGAGAGAAGGAAGACTTACTATGGGGAAGGAGCATGCTATAGAGAGAAGGAAGACTTACTATGGGGAAGGAGCATGCTATAGAGAGAAGGAAGACTTACTATGGGGAAGGAGCATGCTATAGAGAGAAGGAAGACTTACTATGGGGAAGGAGCATGCTATATAGAGAAGGAAGACTTACTATAGGGAAGGAGCGGGCAGCAGACACGGAGGCCATGCCAAGGAGGAGACCCACGCCCGCCAGGACCACCACCACACCGCCTCCAGCACTGTCGACACACCACAAATTAAATTTTTTAAATTTTACCCCGAGGGGGGCGAGTTTGTTGGTCAGCGCCACTCATTCTGCGAGTGGACATACCGCCATAGCCGCATGTACCACAATAGGAAGAAAATCCGCTGGGTTGGTCATCCTGTCACTTGTACCAAGACAGAGGTGGGACTTGCTTAACTGGCTCAAGTAAACAGCTTCTCAAACAAGAAGTTTAATATTTGTCAACCCTTAAAATCTTATGCTATCTTGCTGGGTGGAAAATGGGGGAATCTTTTAAGAACAGTATCTAAATTTCACAAATATTTTCACAACTGAAATAATGTGGGGTTTATTATGCTACACATTTCTAAAGACTCTTAGACAGTGACACTCTCTCAGGTAGTCTTCTAGGTGGTGTCCGTCACTCTCACCACAGATTCTGCAACTTCTCTGTTCAACTGGTGTATCCATTACGAATCTCCGTGGATATTTGTATCCAAGACAGATTCTTGCGATTACTGATTCTCTTCGTCCATAATGATTGGGATTGCCAGCTGCAAATTGTACCATCGTACAGCTTCACTGTTTTGTTCTTCTATCCTCCTTTCCTCAGTTACCTTGTCACAGTGATGTTGCCTGGTAATACCTCTTAATTTGTAGAAGCGTCTTGGGTATGAAGTATTCAATATGGTCTCCTTTAGTGCACTCAGCACATGTTGCTAGTTGAGTGTGTGTATACACTAATGGTCGGGTGTACCTGACTTATCCAGAGTATACCAATGAGTGGTTTACCTGCTACTCTCATTAACATATACAACCACATTATATTCGCATTCAAATCCGCCAGAGAACATTACCATTTAAGTATGTTGACCAGACCACACACTAGAAAATTGAAGGGACGACGACGTTTCGACTTGAGAATGGTCCAGGATCGACTTGAGAATGGTCCAGGACGGACCGAAACGTCGTCGTCCCTTCAATTTCTAGTGTGTGGTCTGGTCAACATACTTCAGCCACGTTATTGTGACTCATCGCCTGCATTACCATTTATATCAATGTGAATCTCGTTTAATAAATCTAAATTTATATTACAAATGATAACAACCCATTACGGTTCGGACACAAAAGGTCTCCTGGTCTTGAAGCCTCAATTAATAATACAAATAATAAGGCCTTCACATATAAACGGTATGAACAACATCCCAAATAACTATAGTCAAAATTGCTTTTTTTAACTTAAAACACTAAAAACCCGATATAAAAGTCAAGCTTAAAATTCTTAATGATAATATACAGTAATTATTAAAATTATTTAATAACTTAAAATATGCTAAGAACATTCGATGTATGTAAAATTAAGCATTTTCTCATCAATAAAGTTTTTTCAATTAAAAATAGTTTAAAGTAAATAATTTCATCAAAAAGGCCCCCCCCCCTCCCTTTCCGGCCTGTTGTTGCCGTGAGGGGGGCTTGGTGGGCGGCTACTGGAGTGTGATGCTCCGTGGGACAGTCCTCTGGCCTTTTGTGGCCTTATGGTCCTGCTGCCGTCTTCTCGAATTATGCCGGATATCTTTTCCTTTACCTTATGTTTCGTTTTTCTCCCCCCCCCCCATCTTCTCCTTTCTCATTGTCATTTCCCGCCGACCTTTTGCCAGTTTTGATTATTATTTTGGCCGTCTTCTGTTTTGGCGCCCGGGTGTTTGAGGAGGCATACTTTCTCACCCGTAGAACTGTGGTACCCGACGTCGCGAGCGAGGGGACGCTTTTATTGTCATTCCTTCTTTTGTCACTGAACCCGATCTCGACGGACTGACGGTTCTTAAGGTGACGTTTGTGGGGAGTACACTCACGACGCACGAGGCATAAGGAGGAACCTGACTGTCGCTGCCTCACCTGGGCATAAGGAGGAACCTGACTGTCGCTGCCTCACCTGGGCATAAGGAACCTGATTGTCGCTGCCTCACCTGGGCATAAGGAACCTGATTGTCGCTGCCTCACCTGGGCACGAGTATGAACCTGACTGTCGCTGCCTCACCTGGGCATAAGGAACCTGACTGTCGCTGCCTCACCTGGGCATAAGGAACCTGATTGTCGCTGCCTCACCTGGGCACGAGTATGAACCTGACTGTCGCTGCCTCACCTGGGCACGAGTATGAACCTGACTGTCGCTGCCTCACCTGGGCACGAGTATGAACCTGACTGTCGCTGCCTCACCTGGGCACGAGTATGAACCTGACTGTCGCTGCCTCACCTGGGTACGAGTATGAACCTGACTGTCGCTGCCTCACCTGGGCACGAGTATGAACCTGACTGTCGCTGCCTCACCTGGGCATCAGGAGGAACCTGGCCACAGTTACGAGGATGAGGACGAGGGGCACGGCGGTGGTGGCGGCCCCACTGAAGGTCTCACGGTGGTGACGGTAGGCCTGCTCTGTGGCCGCCTCCCTGAAGGTCAGCGTCAGGCAGGTCGTCTGGCTCAGCAAATCCCTGTAATTGGGCACAGGTCGTTAGTGTCGGGTAGTTTATGTGCGGGTCGTTAGTTGTGGTGTCCTTAAGTGTTCGATGTTGGGGGGGTAGTGTGGAGTATCGTTAATGCGGGGTGTCGTTATTGTGGAGGTCGTTAGTGCGTGGATAATTAGTGTGGGGGCTGTCATTGTGGGTGCTGTTAGTGTGGGGTTGTTAATTTGGGAATCGTTACTGTGGACATTGTTACTGGGAGGGGAGGAGGGGGTTGTTAGTGTTGGTAGTTAGCATGAAATGTGTTAGCGTGGGAGTCGTTAGAGACAGTTTGATTGGGAGCTGTGAGTGTGGGAGGTGTGATTGTGGGAGCTGTGAGTGTGGGGGCTGTTTGAGCGGGGTAATTCTTGTAAATATTATTATGGTTGACACCATGAACGGCGGTACAGTACAACTGTTGTGGGTGACTGTTAGCATGGGACCATGGGAGGGGGATGTGTATAGGGTGGGTAAGACCGTGGGAGGGGGATGGGGTGGGTGGGACCGTGGGAGGGGGATGTGTATGGGGGGGGGGGACCGTGGGAGGGGGATGGGGTGGGTGAGACCGTAGGAGGGGGGGGGGGGGAGTGGGGTGGGTGAAACCGTGGGAGGGGGATGGAGTGGGTGAGACCGTAGGAGGGGGGGGGGAGTGGGGTGGGTGAGACCGTGGGAGGGGGGGGTGAGACCGTGGGAGGGGGAGGGTGGGGTGGGTGAGACCGTGGGAGGGGGGTGGGGTGGGTGAGACCGTAGGAGGGGGGGGAGTGGGGTGGGTGAGACCGTGGGAGGGGGGGGGGTGGGGTGGGCGGGACCGTGGGAGGGGAGTGGGGTGGGCGGGACCGTGGGAGGGGAGTGGGGTGGGCGGGACCGTGGGAGGGGAGTGGGGTGGGCGGGACCGTGGGAGGGGAGTGGGGTGGGCGGGACCGTGGGAGGGGAGTGGGGTGGGCGGGACCGTGGGAGGGGGGTGGGGTGGGCGGGACCGTGGGAGGGGGGTGGGGTGGGCGGGACCGTGGGAGGGGGGTGGGGTGGGCGGGACCGTGGGAGGGGGGTGGGGTGGGCGGGAACTATGAACAAGGGGACTCACTTGCGCCCATCACGGTTGACAAGTTCCTTCTTGAGTTTGGTCTTGAAGGAGGAGTCCGGACGCCCTCCCTCCTGCAGCGCCTTCAGGATCCTCGCCTCGTCCACCGTCGACAGTGTCTGTGGGGAGGGTACACTGTGGGGCAGGCTGTGGGGGAGGGTACACTGTGGGGCAGGCTGTGGGGGAGGGTACACTGTGGGGCAGGCTGTGGGGAAGGTACACTGTGGGGCAGGTTGTGGGGAGGGTACACTGTGGGGCAGGCTGTGGGGGAGGGTACACTGTGGGGCAGGCTGTGGGGGAGGGTACACTGTGGGGCAGGCTGTGGGGAGGGTACACTGTGGGGCAGGCTGTGGGGAGGGTACACTGTGGGGCAGGCTGTGGGGAGGGTACACTGTGGGGCAGGCTGTGGGGAGGGTACACTGTGGGGCAGGCTGTGGGGAGAGTACACTGTGGGGCAGGCTGTGGGGAGGGTACACTGTGGGGCAGGCTGTGGGGAGGGTACACTGTGGGGCAGGCTGTGGGGAGAGTACACTGTGGGGCAGGCTGTGGGGAGGGTACACTGTGGGGCAGGCTGTGGGGAGGGTACACTGTGGGGCAGGCTGTGGGGAGGGTACACTGTGGGGCAGGCTGTGGGGAGGGTACACTGTGGGGCAGGCTGTGGGGAGGCCACACTGTGGGGCAGGCTGTGGGGAGGCCACACTGTGGGGCAGGCTGTGGGGAGGGCACACTGTGGGGCAGGCTGTGGGGCAGGCTGTGGGGAGGGTACACTGTGGGGCAGGCTGTGGGGGAGGGTACACTGTGGGGCAGGCTGTGGGGAGGGAACACTGTGGGGCAGGCTGTGGGGAGGGTACACTGTGGGGCAGGCTGTGGGGCAGGCTGTGGGGAGGGCACACTGTGGGGCAGGCTGTGGGGAGGGTACACTGTGGGGCAGGCTGTGGGGAGGGTACACTGTGGGGCAGGCTGTGGGGAGGGTACACTGTGGGGCAGGCTGTGGGGAGGGTACACTGTGGGGCAGGCTGTGGGGAGGGTACACTGTGGGGCAGGCTGTGGGGAGGGCACACTGTGGGGCAGGCTGTGGGGAGGGTACACTGTGGGGCAGGCTGTGGGGGAGGGTACACTGGAGGGCAGGCTGTGGGGAGGGTACACTGGGGGGCAGGCTGTGGGGGAGGATACACTGTGGGGCAGGCTGTGGGGGAGGATACACTGTGGGGCAGGCTGTGGGGCAGGCTGTGGGGCAGGCTGTGGGGGAGGGTACACTGGAGGGCAGGCTGTGGGGAGGGTACACTGGGGGGCAGGCTGTGGGGGAGGATACACTGTGGGGCAGGCTGTGGGGAGGGTACACTGTGGGGCAGGCTGTGGGGCAGGCTGTGGGGAGGGCACACTGTGGGGCAGGCTGTGGGGAGGGTACACTGGGGGGCAGGCTGTGGGGCAGGCTGTGGGGGAGGATACACTGTGGGGCAGGCTGTGGGGCAGGCTGTGGGGCAGGCTGTGGGGCAGGCTGTGGGGCAGGCTGTGTGGAGGCCGCACTGGGACAGCCCTGTACCACAGTAATCAGTACAAACAGTGCACAACCACATAACCCATACAGCCTCTTATTTAGAAAGTACTTTTTATAACTGTGTACACCATGGTACATACATTGACGTAATGGACAATTAGATTGTCAACTACGTCAATATATGTAGGACGGTGCACATGGTTACTGTAAGTACTGTGTACACTGGAGGCTGGGCTGGAGCACATGGTCCCAGGTACGTCACGTGTTGCCTCAACACCTGCTGCAGGTGTTACCTTAGCAGTAAATATCGTCCTTGAAGTGTTGCAACCCGTTCTCACACTTGCTTATAGTCAATATCTTGCTTATAAATAAGTGCATATGTGACATACTAATTTATTGTGAGAGCATTTAAGGATGATAAGGAGTCACTTACAATTAATGTATCAAGTTTTGAGACTTGTACACATTTCAGTGCAAGGATCAAGGCAAATAGTTCAGTCTGAAGGGTAGAGGCCCAGTTGTTTATACGGACTCCCCACTCAAAGTATAGGCCATCGCCCATTGTCAGAACAACTGCACTTCCAGCTGCACCCGTGGTGCGGTGTAGGGAACCATCAGTGTATATAATTTGAGAGAGAGAATGCTCTGTGGACAGAGCATCAATATGGCTTAAGGCGTTGAGCTTTGCCTCAAGACGAAGCTTGGGCTGATCTCTAATTTGCTTCTTGGGTGGAAAGGGAGGGATTAAAATTGGAAAGGGTGTAACCTCCCACGGTGCAGGAAAGTGCCGCTGTTGTTTCTCTTGGTACAAATCATGAACCTGATACATTCAACAAAATTATTAAGGATGGTAACAGAGTCCATTTCATGTGGTCTCCATCTCATGTTGGCCTCCGAATGCATGATAGAGCTGATAAGTTAGCCAAAGAATCTGCCTTTAAAGGAGCCGTTGAGTGTAACCTTGGATTGTCAATGAGCAATCTGAGAGCAGCTGTACACCGAGAACTTCAACAAGATCTTGTAGATCTGAGGCAAAGTGAAATTGACACCAGTAATTCCATCTATCATCATACTATCATGCAAGAGGAGCCACACATCTATGGATCATCCAATAAAATCAGCAGACTTCTAGATGTTACTACTGCTCGGCTTAGACTCGGTTACAAGTATCTCTGGGAATTCTCATTATCTGCTGATGTAGACCTGACCAAATGTAAACTGTGTCAACAAAATTATTCGCACACCCTCCGTCACTATGTGATGGAGTGCGAAAAGATACGTGAATTTAGAGACAATTCTATAACCAATGTTCCAGCGATGTGTCAATATTTCATTCAAAATGATCTGCTACCAGAAATTTTAGCCAAATATCCCCAGTTTGCTAACTGTAGGTAGTAACTAAGTGATTGTAACCTATCCACCGCTGCCCACTGGATGGGGGGCGGTGTGCAGGACAAACATATAAATTTTGACACTAGCTCTCCACATATGTCAGTTGCTTAATTTAGAACCTGTACTTGAGGTCGATCTCGAACCCATTGTTGATGTGATGACTTATATTGAATTTTGTAACTAGCTCATCAAGATTGTAACTTGCTTAGCTAAATGAATTGTGGGGTTCAGTCCCTGAGCCCATTATGTGCCTCTGTAACCCTTTCCACTACCGCCCACAAGATGGGTATGGGGTGCATAATAAATGAACTAAACTAAACTAATTTATTGTGAATATTTGAGTTTACCTTGAAAAGCTGAATAGAAAACCCCAACCTAACCTAACCTTCTTAGTATGTTAAGATATTACAATTAGTACTGAACCTATACCTATATTGATATTTCAGTTTTATAAAAATAATAAAACAAAACTAAAATATTTAAATAAATTTTAAGGTAACTCAGGATATTGTCAAATTTTGTATAAAATCTCTATTGTTTAATAAAACTGAGAGAAAAAGTTAGTGCCTTGAAAAAAAAATATGGCTTGGAATATGTCACATATGTACTTATTTATAAGCGAAATAGTGACTATAAGCAATAAGTCATATATGTGCTGTCTTGTGCGAGAGCAACCCGTTCTTACGCTTGTTTATAGTCAATATCTTGCTTATGAATAAGTGCATATGTGACATACTAATATATTTATGTACTTATATATAAGCGAAATAGTGACTATAAGCAATAAGTCATATATGTTCTGTTTTGTGCGAGAGCAGGTTGAGGGCTGCACCGTTGAGACGGTTAGCCACTGGCTTAGCCGCACCTCCATAACAGTAACAGGCTTCCTGTCCCCGATGACGGGACCTTTAACATGAACATGTTGGGGAACACCACATGTGGTCCTCTAGACCACATCCTTACAAGGACAAGTAACATACAAGAGCTTCAAGCTCAACAAGCCACAATGTAGCACACAAGAGGAGACGCTTGTTCTTACAAACTCGTACAACCGCCTGCCGCCCAAACCGTAACAATCCAGTTAGAGCAAATCCTGCAGAACAGTGGAGGGACCACTGACAAGTCACCGGTGTCCTGTCCCCGTGTAGGCCACCAGAGAGACTGTGACCCTCAGATATATTCAGGGGGAAACATGCTAGCTGCGTGTCCTCACATCTCCTCCAAGTGCTGTACAGCCATACTGGCTTAGTGCTTTCTCTTGATAATTACCTGACCCGAGTTGCACTCCCAAGCTCTCCCCCGTGACAGCTCTCAGGGCCTCCCAGGGCCTCCCAGGGCTTCCTAGGGCCTCCCAGGGCCTCCTAGGCCACTTGGTACCGCCTGTGTGGCACCAGAGAAACGGGGGCCAGAGAGAAATGCAAATGAGGAAAACAAAATAAAGAGACGTGAGAAAATTCTCAAATGCAGTGTTAGCAGACCTCAAAAGAAGAGAGAACAAGATAGGTGAGAGTTGTAGAAGCCATTAGATACCAGTGGGAAGCATTTGTATCCATTTGGATCCATGTAGATACCATTTGGGAGACCAAGAGGCAGAGTTCAGCTCTCCGTAGACACTGGTTGGTGAGCAGAGTGTCTCAGTCGTCAGGTGTACTCGGCAGGCACAGGTGCACAGGCGGGATTGAGCAAATTAGGGCGGGCTGAGTGCCACTCACTCACTCCACGGGTCAAGTGGGCGGCAACACTCGGGCTTTGACCGCGCTCTCCCATTAGTGGTCCCCGTAGCTCCTGGCTGCACAAGGTGCTGGGTGGTGGGATCGCACCTCCTCCTGGACCAAACATGATCTCCTGGATATATATAATAAAATATATCTTTGATATCCCGAGAGTCAGACTAAGTATCTGCAAACTCTTCATGCAAATAAAGGAACCCAGCCTATGCCTTATTCAAAAGTAAAACCATTGGCGGGATTGTTGGTCTTCTGTTACTGGTAACAAACTGTGTACTCTTAATAGTGTGTCCTCATGGCCGTCCTCCTACCACCATAACCGGTGGTGGGAAACGGCTCTGGCGAGGTTGTGTATTGGCCATACACGCTTAACTCACGGTCACTTAATGGAGCGCTGCCCTGCTCCTTGGTGTCCAAATTGCCTTGTCCCTCTTACGGTCGTGCATAGCCTTGTTGAATGTCCTGACGTCCAGGACGATCGTGTGTCTTGTTTTCCGACCGTCCCTCGCGGTCGCTTGTCTCTCGATAGAATTCTTGGTGACTCGGATACTTTTGATATCGTTCGCCTTATGCGTTTTTGTTCTCGTATTGGCATCGCTGGTGATATTTAGCGGCCTCTGATTATCCCGCACATTTGGTGCTACATGGCTTTCCCGGTTTGGTGCCTTCTTTTGATAATTACTTATACCCTGATGCTCCTGTTACCTAGCAGTAAATAGGTACCTGGGCAAATTTTTTTTAGTAACAGTTGGTTCATTGACAGTTGAGAGGCGGGCCGAAAGAGCAGAGCTCAACCCCGGCAAGCACATCTAGGTGAACACATATACATAGAGATGCTTTGGCTCTATTCCCGGTTTTCCCGCCAAACCTGCTATAAGAAGTTTCCCGGCTTGGCGCCTTCTTTTGTTAACTATTTACTGCTCTATCACGTGAGAAGAGAACCACAGGAGCTTGATCGCCACATCCTGGCGATCATCCTGACTAATATCTTCATTTTCTATATTTCCCTGATGCTGATTTCTGAGACATTTTGTAATTCTGTTATGCACAGGTCTTTTGACTGTTATCACTGCCCCCACCCACCCTGGCGCTCCCATTTGTGAAGCTTAACGCCATAATAACATCAATTACCTCGGCTTGGGTAGTTGAGTTATGACACTCAACTCATACTCGAGTCTTAATCTCCCTTAGTAAGGCATTGTTCCTAATAATAGAGTACAAGGCTCCCGACCCCTCGTGTTACTGCAGTTACCCCTCACTACTTTCTTTATAACTCACGGTTTCTTTAGCTCGTCGATTCAAAATTACTTTGCGTGGTCGATGATTTATTTGCATTTGGCTTGTCTTGCTACAGTCAATGTCTACTGCATCAATTTGTTTTCATCCGAATTTGACATCCTTGCTTTCTTTGGTCGTCTGTCTCATAGTTTGTGTGATATTTGATGTTCCTTTATCAAATGTTACTTTGGTTCTCCTTCAAACAGTCCCTGGAAATTCAGCTTGTGGTCAATGAGAACGCCAAGGAATTTGCCATTTCCTTCAAACATGTGTTGGTGGAAGAATGGGGTGAGTACAGCGATGGTGATGACTACATCAATGATAATGACAACGACGATAACGACAAGTAGCGATAGCGGTGACGACATGGTAGTCGAGGCTGATGACAGCGACGACGCTGATAGGGTGAGGAGGAGGAGGAGGACCTGGGCGTTACTCACAGTGGAGTCCCTGGAGGCCAGCGTGTTCTCTGAGGGCAGCTCCCGCGACGGCTGCGACGACGAGCTCTTTGTCCCGTTCCTCATCATCTGCAGCGACGGCCGTGGCTTGTACTGTGTGGGGGAGGCTGGTGTTAGTGGCTTGTACTGTGTGGGGGAGGCTGGTGTTAGTGGCTTGTACTGTGTGGGGGAGGCTGGTGTTAGTGGCTTGTACTGTGTGGGGGAGGCTGGTGTTAGTGGCTTGTACTGTGTGGGGGAGCTGGTGTCAGTGGCTTGTACTGTGTGGGGGAGGCTGGTGTTAGTGGCTTGTACTGTGTGGGGGAGGCTGGTGTTTAGTGGCTTGTACTGTGTGGGGGAGGCTGGTGTTAGTGGCTTGTACTGTGTGGGAGGCTGGTGTTAGTGGCTTGTACTGTGTGGGGGAGCCTGGTGTTAGTGGCTTGTACTGTGTGGGGGAGGCTGGTGTTAGTGGCTTGTACTGTGTGGGGGAGCCTGGTGTTAGTGGCTTGTACTGTGTGGGGGAGGCTGGTGTTAGTGGCTTGTACTGTGTGGGGGAGCCTGGTGTTAGTGGCTTGTACTGTGTGGGGGAGGCTGGTGTTAGTGGCTTGTACTGTGTGGGGGAGCCTGGTGTTAGTGGCTTGTACTGTGTGGGAGGCTGGTGTTAGTGGCTTGTACTGTGTGGGGAGCCTGGTGTTAGTGGCTTGTACTGTGTGGGGGAGGCTGGTGTTAGTGGCTTGTACTGTGTGGGGGAGCCTGGTGTTAGTGGCTTATACTGTGTGGGGGAGGCTGGTGTTAGTGGCTTGTACTGTGTGGGGGAGGCTGGTGTTAGTGGCTTGTACTGTGTGGGGAGGCTGGTGTTAGTGGCTTGTACTGTGTGGGGGAGGCTGGTGTTAGTGGCTTGTACTGTGTGGGGGAGGCTGGTGTTAGTGGCTTGTACTGTGTGGGGGAGGCTGGTGTTAGTGGCTTGTACTGTGTGGGGGAGGCTGGTGTTAGTGGCTTGTACTGTGTGGGGGAGGCTGGTGTTAGTGGCTTGTACTGTGTGGGGGAGGCTGGTGTTAGTGGCTTGTACTGTGTGGGGAGGCTGGTGTTAGTGGCTTGTACTGTGTGGGGAGGCTGGTGTTAGTGGCTTGTACTGTGTTGGGGGAGCCTGGTGTTAGTGGCTTGTACTGTGTGGGGGAGCCTGGTGTTAGTGGCTTGTACTGTGTGGGGGAGGCTGGTGTTAGTGGCTTGTACTGTGTGGGGGAGGCTGGTGTTAGTGGCTTGTACTGTGTGGGGGAGGCTGGTGTTAGTGGCTTGTACTGTGTGGGGGAGGCTGGTGTTAGTGGCTTGTACTGTGTGGGGGAGGCTGGTGTTAGTGGCTTGTACTGTGTGGGGGAGGCTGGTGTTAGTGGCTTGTACTGTGTGGGGGAGCCTGGTGTTAGTGGCTTGTACTGTGTGGGGGAGGCTGGTGTTAGTGGCTTGTACTGTGTGGGGGAGGCTGGTGTTAGTGGCTTTTACTGTGTGGGGGAGGCTGGTGTTAGTGGCTTGTACTGTGTGGGGGAGGCTGGTGTTAGTGGCTTGTACTGTGTGGGGGAGGCTGGTGTTAGTGGCTTGTACTGTGTGGGGGAGGCTGGTGTTAGTGGCTTGTACTGTGTGTGGGAGGCTGGTGTTAGTGGCTTGTACTGTGTGGGGGAGGCTGGTGTTAGTGGCTTGTACTGTGTGGGGGAGGCTGGTGTTAGTGGCTTGTACTGTGTGGGGGAGGCTGGTGTTAGTGGCTTGTACTGTGTGGGGGAGGCTGGTGTTAGTGGCTTGTACTGTGTGGGGGAGGCTGGTGTTAGTGGCTTGTACTGTGTGGGGGAGGCTGGTGTTAGTGGCTTGTACTGTGTGGGGGAGGCTGGTGTTAGTGGCTTGTACTGTGTGGGGGAGGCTGGTGTTAGTGGCTTGTACTGTGTGGGGGAGGCTGGTGTTAGTGGCTTGTACTGTGTGGGGGAGGCTGGTGTTAGTGGCTTGTACTGTGTGGGGGAGGCTGGTGTTAGTGGCTTGTACTGTGTGTGGGGGAGCCTGGTGTTAGTGGCTTGTACTGTGTGGGGGAGGCTGGTGTTAGTGGCTTGTACTGTGTGGGGGAGGCTGGTGTTAGTGGCTTGTACTGTGTGGGGGAGCCTGGTGTTAGTGGCTTGTACTGTGTGGGGGAGGCTGTGTTAGTGGCTTGTACTGTGTGGGGGAGGCTGGTGTTAGTGGCTTGTACTGTGTGGGGGAGGCTGGTGTTAGTGGCTTGTACTGTGTGGGGGAGGCTGGTGTTAGTGGCTTGTACTGTGTGGGGGAGGCTGGTGTTAGTGGCTTGTACTGTGTGTGGGGGAGCCTGGTGTTAGTGGCTTGTACTGTGTGGGGGAGGCTGGTGTTAGTGGCTTGTACTGTGTGTGGGGGAGGCTGGTGTTAGTGGCTTGTACTGTGTGGGGAGGCTGGTGTTAGTGGCTTGTACTGTGTGTGGGGGAGGCTGGTGTTAGTGGCTTGTACTGTGTGGGGGAGGCTGGTGTTAGTGGCTTGTACTGTGTGGGGAGGCTGGTGTTAGTGGCTTGTACTGTGTGGGGGAGGCTGGTGTTAGTGGCTTGTACTGTGTGGGGGAGGCTGGTGTTAGTGGCTTGTACTGTGTGGGGGAGGCTGGTGTTAGTGGCTTGTACTGTGTGGGGGAGGCTGGTGTTAGTGGCTTGTACTGTGTGGTGGGGAGCCTGGTGTTAGTGGCTTGTACTGTGTGGGGGGAGGCTGGTGTTAGTGGCTTGTACTGTGTGGGGGAGCCTGGTGTTAGTGGCTTGTACTGTGTGGGGGAGGCTGGTGTTAGTGGCTTGTACTGTGTGGGGGAGGCTGGTGTTAGTGGCTTGTACTGTGTGGGGGAGGCTGGTGTTAGTGGCTTGTACTGTGTGGGGGAGCCTGGTGTTAGTGGCTTGTACTGTGTGGGGGAGGCTGGTGTTAGTGGCTTGTACTGTGTGGGGAGCCTGGTGTTAGTGACTTGTACTGTGTGGGGGAGGCTGGTGTTAGTGGCTTGTACTGTGTGTGGGGGAGGCTGGTGTTAGTGGCTTGTACAGTGTGGGGGATCACCCTCACCCCAGGACCTACACCCTCACCCCAGGACCTACACCCTCACCCTCACCCCAGGACCTACACCCTCACCCTCACCCCAGGACCTACACCCTCACCCTCACCCCAGGACCTACACCCTCACCCCAGGACCTACACCCTCACCCCAGGACCTACACCCTCACCCTCACCCCAGGACCTACACCCTCACATTCACCCCAGGACCTGCACCCTCACCCTCACCCCAGGACCTACACCCTCACATTCACCCCAGGACCTACACCCTCACACTCACCCCAGGACCTGCACCCTCACCCTCACCCCCAGGACCTACACCCCTCACCCTCACCCCAG